ACTGCAAGGCACGGTTAGTAAGTGCGAGAAAGCCGGAGCTGCGGACGAACCTGGAGTAGCATCTTTCATACCTCACGTGTTTCACTTTGCGGCCTCGCATGCGTTGAGGGAATGTGCCTCGAACAGAACATCCAGTGCTGAGTGGGGATTGCCAAACTTACGGAGGCTGATGCCACAACAAGTGCCTCAACAGCAATGCATGCGGAGGGCAAAGTTCGGCCTCGCGAGTGCTGAGGGTTGCAGCTGAGAGAGGGCCTAGCTGAGAACGCAACACCTCAAGCGAGGTAATTTTTAGTTTAGTTTCACCTTGACCAACGGCCCCTTCGGGTGGCTACGCCTCGCAGCGTGCAGACGAAAGTTCCTGTCTGGCTCAAGGTTTCGGCTCAACCCCGGTGGGGTGCTCAGGTAGAGAGCGTCTTTAGTGCCGTTGTGGCTGGCCCTGGGGCTTGTAACTAAGGGTAGGTTCCGTTTTGAGGCCTGGCAAAACTGTGTTTGCTCGTAGGCCGGCTGACCGGCTAAGCTGTCATAGAGCGGCGGCCCGCCAACTGCTGCCGTCGACGAAGGGCGTGAGTGCACAGTTTTCGGCCTCGCTTCGCTGAGGGAAGCTTTTCGTCCTCGCGTTGCTGAGGGAACCTTGTGGCCTACAGTCTGCTCTGGGTCACAGTGAGAGTTGCAGCCTCGCATTGCTTGAGGGGTGACGCAAGCCTGTTGCTCACCAGAGATTCCTGCTGTCTCTGGGTGAGCAAAACCCACCGACCCTCATTTGGATTGAGGGCTGTGCTGAAGGTGAGTTTGGGTTCCTCGCTCACTTGTGTGGAAAACGAAGGTGAGACCGAAACACGGGGGAAACGGCCAGGCACGCTGCAGACAGTGCAGGCCAACGTCGCACTGCAAGAGGCATCCTTGCAGTGGCGACAGGAGTGTCCCGAACAATTGCGGTGTGCTCGAGCCCAAGCTTGCAGGTTTTCGGGGATCTGCAAGCTGAGCACAACAGGATTTTCTTCGCAGGTAGAATCAGGTAGAAAAGATTTGGCCCAACCCTGGTGGATCTGCCTGGACATAAATAACCAGAGGCATCAGTGTCGTAAAGCTCATTGACTGGTGCTACTGAGAAACCGTTGCCAAGGAACTTGCAGTAGGACTGTGGTGCGGCGCAGTGCAAGTTGAAGAGCAGCTGGTGGTGGCTGCTCCCCGGAAAACCAATAGTCCAAGAAGCCTCCTTCGGCCTCGCTCCGTGCTGAGGGTTTGTAAGGGTTGGTATTGGCCGGAAAGGATTCAGATGGAGGTTACCCGATCTTCGCGCTTTTCCCATCTGAAGGCAACCAATGGTAATCAGCCTGCTGGACATGGCAGGCCTGCTTTTGTTTACATCCACGTCTCCTGCAAGGGCTGGGGTCTGTCCGTGCACACAGACAAGGCGGAACCTTGCAGATGTTTAGGTCCTCGCGGCACGGCCGCTGGAGGTTGTTTGAAGATGTTGGCTCTCACTATCTGGTGAGTGGTTTGTATGGGCACTTGCTGGGGCAAGGCGGCTCTGGCGTCTGAGGATGGTACATGTGCTGGCTGCTGAGTACGGGCCACCGAAAGAGACCTGTGGTAAGACAAGCGATGAAAGGAGCCGAACTCCTAAAGAAAGGACAGGCTAGCTCACGCGGACGCCACGCAGAGTATGTGTTACTATCTTCAGATGTTGGAGCCAAATTGCCAGCCTTGTGACGTGAGATGTGGTGTTTGGATTCGGCCTCAAGCACTGGAAGGCCTACAACAACAAATCCGAATGAAAACTGTGGTCCTAAGACACGCGGTGCAGCTGCTTATACGTGGCACCGCGGGGGTCACATAGAGATAGAGGGCTTGCCAGCAAGGGAACTCTGTCTAAAGAGAGCCCTGGCTCAGTGAGGAGCTGAGGGCCTGGCTGCGCTGATGCAGCGGAATGGTTGTTCGGCCTCGCCTCCGCTGAGGGAACAACAGTCAATGCTTCTCTGCAGTGTCGGTCCGGGTTAGTAAGAGCGAGAACGCCGGGACCTCGAGCTGCAGTTTTACCATGAAGCAACCGCGTGAGATGCATTATTGGTCAACTGGTGAGTAAGAGCGAGAAAGCCAGGGTGACGCTACTTTGGGGGAGGCTGCAAGGCACGGTTAGTAAGTGCGAGAAAGCCGGAGCTGCGGACGAACCTGGAGTAGCAGTTTTTCATACCTCACGTGTTTCACTTTGCGGCCTCGCATGCGCTGAGGAAATATGCCTCGAACAGAACATCCAGTGCTGAGTGGGGATTGCCAAACTTACGGAGGCTGATGCCACAACAAGTGCCTCAACAGCAATGCATGCGGAGGGCAAAGTTCGGCCTCGCGAGTGCTGAGGGTTGCAGCTGAGAGAGGGCCTAGCTGAGAACGCAACACCTCAAGCGAGGTAATTTTTAGTTTAGTTTCACCTTGACCAACGGCCCCTTCGGGTGGCTACGCCTCGCAGCGTGCAGACGAAAATTCCCTGGCTCAAGGTTTCGGCTCAACCCCGGTGGGGTGCTCAGGTAGAGAGCGTCTTTAGTGCCGTTGTGGCTGGCCCTGGGGCTTGTAACTAAGGGTAGGTTCCGTTTTGAGGCCTGGCAAAACTGTGTTTGCTCGTAGGCCGGCTGACCGGCTAAGCTGTCATAGAGCGGCGGCCCGCCAACTGCTGCCGTCGACGAAGGGCGTGAGTGCACAGTTTTCGGCCTCGCTTCGCTAGAGGGAAGCTTTTCGTCCTCGCGTTGCTGAGGGAACCTTGTGGCCTACAGTCTGCTCTGGGTCACAGTGAGAGTTGCAGCCTCGCATTGCTTGAGGGGTGACGCAAGCCTGTTGCTCACCAGAGATTCCTGCTGTCTCTGGGTGAGCAAAACCCACCGACCCTCATTTGGATTGAGGGCTGTGCTGAAGGTGAGTTTGGGTTCCTCGCTCACTTGTGTGGAAAACGAAGGTGAGACCGAAACACGGGGGGAAACGGCCAGGCACGCTGCAGACAGTGCAGGCCAACGTCGCACTGCAAGAGGCATCCTTGCAGTGGCGACAGGAGTGTCCCGAACAATTGCGGTGTGCTCGAGCCCAAGCTTGCAGGTTTTCGGGGATCTGCAAGCTGAGCACAACAGGATTTTCTTCGCAGGTAGAATCAGGTAGAAAAGATTTGGCCCAACCCTGGTGGATCTGCCTGGACATAAATAACCAGAGGCATCAGTGTCGTAAAGCTCATTGACTGGTGCTACTGAGAAACCGTTGCCAAGGAACTTGCAGTAGGACTGTGGTGCGGCGCAGTGCAAGTTGAAGAGCAGCTGGTGGTGGCTGCTCCCCGGAAAACCAATAGTCCAAGAAGCCTCCTTCGGCCTCGCTCCGTGCTGAGGGTTTGTAAGGGTTGGTATTGGCCGGAAAGGATTCAGATGGAGGTTACCCGATCTTCGCGCTTTTCCCATCTGAAGGCAACCAATGGTAATCAGCCTGCTGGACATGGCAGGCCTGCTTTTGTTTACATCCACGTCTCCTGCAAGGGCTGGGGTCTGTCCGTGCACACAGACAAGGCGGAACCTTGCAGATGTTTAGGTCCTCGCGGCACGGCCGCTGGAGGTTGTTTGAAGATGTTGGCTCTCACTATCTGGTGAGTGGTTTGTATGGGCACTTGCTGGGGCAAGGCGGCTCTGGCGTCTGAGGATGGTACATGTGCTGGCTGCTGAGTACGGGCCACCGAAAGAGACCTGTGGTAAGACAAGCGATGAAAGGAGCCGAACTCCTAAAGAAAGGACAGGCTAGCTCACGCGGACGCCACGCAGAGTATGTGTTACTATCTTCAGATGTTGGAGCCAAATTGCCAGCCTTGTGACGTGAGATGTGGTGTTTGGATTCGGCCTCAAGCACTGGAAGGCCTACAACAACAAATCCGAATGAAAACTGTGGTCCTAAGACACGCGGTGCAGCTGCTTATACGTGGCACCGCGGGGGTCACAAAGAGATAGAGGGCTTGCCAGCAGGGGAACTCTGTCTAAAGAGAGCCCTGGCTCAGTGAGGAGCTGAGGGCCTGGCTGCGCTGATGCAGCGGAATGGTTGTTCGGCCTCGCCTCCGCTGAGGGAACAACAGTCAATGCTTCTCTGCAGTGTCGGTCCGGGTTAGTAAGAGCGAGAACGCCGGGACCTCGAGCTGCAGTTTTACCATGAAGCAACCGCGTGAGATGCATTATTGGTCAACTGGTGAGTAAGAGCGAGAAAGCCAGGGTGACGCTACTTTGGGGGAGGCTGCAAGGCACGGTTAGTAAGTGCGAGAAAGCCGGAGCTGCGGACGAACCTGGAGTAGCAGTTTTTCATACCTCACGTGTTTCACTTTGCGGCCTCGCATGCGCTGAGGAAATATGCCTCGAACAGAACATCCAGTGCTGAGTGGGGATTGCCAAACTTACGGAGGCTGATGCCACAACAAGTGCCTCAACAGCAATGCATGCGGAGGGCAAAGTTCGGCCTCGCGAGTGCTGAGGGTTGCAGCTGAGAGAGGGCCTAGCTGAGAACGCAACACCTCAAGCGAGGTAATTTTTAGTTTAGTTTCACCTTGACCAACGGCCCCTTCGGGTGGCTACGCCTCGCAGCGTGCAGACGAAAAATTCACCCTGGCTCAAGTTGTGGCTCAAAACGCTGCACGCAGTGCCGTCGTGGCCAGCCTTGGGGCCTACTTTCCTAGAGGTCTCTACCGGGCCCAAACCGCAACCGTAAAGGTCGTAGGCTGGCTGTCCAGCAAGGGTTGGGCGGGGTAGCTGTCTCTTCCAGTGGAGGCTCAGGGCCAACACTGAAGCGCGTAGTTGTGCCATTGCATTTCCCTTGAACACTTGAACAGTCTTGCTTGCACAGTCCGCTTGATTTTCTTGAAAAAGGGAACTTTGTTTTGAAGGCCTTGCTTGCGAAAACGCCCTTAGTTTTGTTGCCTTACTTCTCTTGCAGTACAGTTTTCTTGAAGAGCGGCAGCAATCGCGGCCGAAGTGCGCCGGCAAGTTGGCATGAAGCAGCAAAGACCTTATTTTGTGTGCAAGAAGTGCGGCCCAGAGTCATGGATTTTCTGTGACAGAGCTGCCAAAGCTGAAACCTGCCACCTGTGCGGTGGTCGCTGGCCGAAGTACAAGGAGCAGCCTAGCTCCAAACCTGAGCGGGTCTGGCGATCCCAACAAGCTGTGCAGCCGAAAGGTTTTCGTCAGGACGGCAAGATCCACAAAGCGTTGCATTCTCTTTGGGAGAAGTTTACGCCGGAAGTTCAGCAGGGTCTGGTTGCTGCTGGATGGAAGCCCAAAGCTGAGCCGAAGCTTGAGGCTCCCCCTGGCCTGCCCAGGTTAGGGGCGGGAGGGCACATAGGAAAGGGCAAAGGCAAAGGGAAGCAGAGTGAGCCGGCAGAGCATGACTCAGCTCATCAGGCCTTGTGGGAATCGGCAAGCTCGGAGCAGCGAGCATGGCTTCATCAGCTCGGCTTTCAGTGCCCCAGCCCGTCGGAGCCCTCAGATTTGAAGACACTGATCAACGCGCACATGGACCAGCTCCCGGAGACGCTTAGGCAAGCAATAGCCAGTCTTGAGCCGCCAGAGCCGGAACCTTCGGCCACAGAGCAAGTTTTGTCAGCCACGAAGAAATTCAAGGCAAGCACGAATGAGCTTCGTCAACTCATTCAGAAATCTGCAGGCTTGCAGGTCAAAATCGACCGTGCCAAAGCCACGTATGCAGATCTGCTGGACCAAATGAAGGCTGTCCAGACTGAATTGGCTGATAAGCAGTTGGCGGTCACCAAACTCCAAAAGGAACTGGAGTCCAAGGTCCAATCTGGAGCCGGGTAGCCGATTTTGCCAGGAAAGGAGGCCGTCCTTCTGGCATTAACGCAGTGTGGCATCACCCTCAGCAGCGAGCAGCAGGCCCTTCTTGAAGGCAGCATGGATGTGGAACCTGCCCCTCTCGTTGCACCGAAACCGCATAACACGGAGGAAGAGATGCTAGCATCGGCTCCCCAGCCGCAGGCTGCCCAGCCTCCTGCTGATTGGCCGGATGGACCGCGAGAGGGCAAGCATCGTTCGCGCAGTAGGGGCAGGGCTCAGGGCTAGGGTTCAGGGCTAGGAGGGGACGCCAGGCGTGTTTCTAGGCCTGTTGGGACGCTCTTGGGTGCAGCCAGTACTTGCAGTAGTGTCAGTGAGCAGCCTCAGCAGCGAGACCATGCCTCCACTTCCGCTCCGCAGTCCCGCTCTCAGCCAGTGCCTGTGCAATGCATTTCGGATGAAACCGTTGCAGTGCAAACTATGCCTGATGGAAGTGCATCTAGCCCGGTTTCCAGGGCTGCAGTTTTGGAAGATCCGGTTTTTGAAGACCCTGAGCTCCTGTGTGCTATTTGTGCTTCGCCGTTAGCGCCCTCACGAAGTGTGAGTTCTGCCTCAGGGCACATGCGTTCAATCGCGACTTGTCGTCTGTGTTTGTCCCAGGCCGCGTCAGCTACCAGCTGTGCTGGCCAGGACCATGCCGAGCATGTGGGTCGGGCAATCCCAGATGAACCTCTCCGCACATGCCCAGTGGCAAAACTCCTGCCCCTTCCTGAAGGTCAGTCTCCCGCTTCGCATGCTTCATTTGGTGAGGTTGCCTTAGTTGAACAGCCGCTCCTAGTACAGGATGTGCGCCATGCTGGCAGCACTCCTATTCTGCATTCATTTGCATCACACCCTGAAGGGGCAGGTCAACTGACCCCGGTTTCTCAGCAACACCTGCCCGATGTGCGCTGCGCTCGGAAATATTCCAGCGATCAAACTCGGAAGCCATATGTGCTGCAAGGACCGCACATGCAGGCGCCGGAGGAGGCCAAACTTACCATCCCCCTCCCGAGCCCGTGTGCACCGGCCCAGGACAATGTTGCACATGTCACCTCCAACCTCAGCCCCAGTCGGGGTGAACCTGACTGGTGCCATGCCTTGCACCTCCTTGAGACAGCCGCTCACAGTTTTACCCACACTGAAGCCCGACCGATCACTCTGCGGTGTGGTGGGGCTTCGGCCGTCGTGAGTAGTGTGCAACAAGGCCTGCAAGGCACGAGAGTTCAGGGGCCTTCTGCCGCCAGCACATCTGATCTGAGTAGGGCTCTGTGCTGCGATCTTTGCCGTGAAGACAGTTTTGAAACCTACAGGTTGTTTCGGTATGCAGGCCAGCTGGTGACAGCTCTGTGTGAGACTTGTGCTGTGCATGTGGCTCATACCGTTTCTTCACAGTGCCGTTCCTTGACGATGAGGGCCCACCTTCCACGTAGTGCAGGCAATCTGTTGTGCAAGGGTCGAGGGGTTCTAGGGTTTCTTGGAGGCGTTAAGTCAGGTTCTCTTGAACCAGCAGTAGACCGCAACTGTGTTTTGGCCGATGTGCGCCTTGAGGGCGGCACTCGGAAAATTGAAAAGTCAGGCCCACGTGAGCGACCGCCGGGCATGAACCCAATCATATGCTTGAGCTGTGAGTGTGAGCCAGCGTGCGCATTTAGTCGCGAGCCGCAGGTTGCACGATTCACCATGGCATGCCAAACAGTCCAAATGCAATATGAGGTGCAGGACCTTGATGGCCTAGTGCATGAGATGCATGAGAAGTGCGTTTATTGCTTGGCCAATCAGGCCCTGGATCACACGGGGTCAGAGTCAGGTGATGTTGGGTTGTTTCGCATGCGCCAGCAGAGGGCACCTAAATCCTGGCACTTGTCTGGTCCCCGTTTCTTCCCAGGCTCCTTCGCAGATGAGGGTGGCGATGTCCCCAGTACCAATAGTTGTTTGCAGGGCTTTCGCATTGGGGATGAGTCCGGCGGCCCTAACCCCAATTTTCGGCAGGGTGGCCGGAGCGCTCACTTTCCTCCAGATGCCTTGGTTCAGTGTGCGGCAACAGGTGGCCCTCAGGTGAGCCCTCCCAGGTCAGGGTGTCATAGCGTCCAGTCTCTGAGGGCTTCAGAGCCTTTGCTATCTACGGTTGGACGCTTGGAAGATCCTCTGAGTTACAAGGTAGAGCAGCCTTTCAGTGCGGTGGAATGCCGTTTGGACCCATTTGTAGCCTTTTCAACACCAACTGTAGACCCTGCCCCAGGAGCTTGTGATAATTCATACAAGGCAGGGTCTACAGTTGTTTCAGCCACTCCTATTGCTGGTGAGTTTTCGGGTTTAATTGGTCCGGGGTGCCCTGAGGCCGGACAGGAATGCCCAGCTGAAGCGCCATCAATGCCACGGGTGGTGGGTGCGCGCGCCGATTGCAGTTCACATCGTATTGGCCGATCCGGACAGCAGCGGCTAACACCAGCTGAGGCCGCTGCGGCTCAGATGTGGAAGCAGGTGCATCAAAGCATTCACCAGGGTAATGAGGAAAAATTGTTGGATGCCATTGAGACCTTGGAAAAGGATGGTCACATGCATGAGGGCACCTTTGCTTGGACAGCTGCTGAGCTAGCGATCCAAAGTAGGTTTGATGTTCCCACTCATGTTGCCGCTTGGGCTGCTGAGGATGTCCTTGCGAATTTTGGCACCCAGCCAGCCAGATCAAACTTGACCTTCGTAAGTGCCAATGTGACCAGGTGGCGCAAAGACCTGGCACCCTGGATAGGGCAGCACCGCCCGTCTGTGTGCATCCTCCAGGAAACACATGTCCACCCGGACCAGGGCGATCTCATTGTGAATCATGCTCTTTCCGGCTTTTTCGCTAACCTTAGTGGGGCCATCGAGCTTTCGGTGTACGGTGTCATGCAAGGTCGCGGAAGCATCCCAAAGATGATCAGAAGCAAACTTCTGACTCCAGTCATGCCGGCTGCAAGTTGGGGGGGTTCAGAAACGTCCTTTTGGAATAGAGTTGTGGTGTGGCTTGAAGCCTGCGTAAGAAAGTTCCATTCAAGCTCCTTTGCTCTTGGGGCCGCCAAGCGTATACCTGAAATGTGGCATGGCAACCATTCACAACAGGAGGCTTTCGTTACAGACTTGGTAGCCCTGCTCAGGGATCATAGCGAAGCGTTGGTCCAGCCCTTACTCCAGGTCGCGCGTGAGCAGCGTAAATATCATGCCCAGGCGTGGGCGAAACAAAAGAGCTCATCCTACATATGCTGGTTGAAACACTCCTCCCAGAAGGGCATGAGGCCCCTTTTCAGGAGTGTCAAAGCTGAAGAGGCGATCCACGTCAGACCTTTTACGGATGCGCCGGTTCAGGAGCGCATCTACCTCCGATGGAGGCAGTGGTTCGACTTGTGGACGCAGCCTACGGGTGTGGATCCTGAGTTGCTTTGCGAGCTTCGCCGCAGGGCTGTTGAACAAGCCGGGTCACTTGACCCCATCCCTTTAGATAAAGCGGTTGCGTACTTCAAGAAAGTACCCACTAAAGCCCCTGGCTTAGATGGATGGACGTGTGAAGTCTTGCACAATCTTCAGCCAAACGCAGTGCAGGCAATCCTTGACTTTTTCCGCCACTGTGAGCTTGAAGCGTCGTGGCCGGATCAGTTTGTGTTTTCCCTAATCGCCCTTTTGCCGAAAAGTGATAAGCGAGAACGACCCATTGCGTTAATGCACATTTTGTATCGCTCGTGGGTTCGCCTCCGGTGGAAGCTTGTAGCAGATTGGCAGCGGGCCTACTCCCGGCAGGCTTCCTGGGACAAAGCAGTACCAGGTAGTCAAGTTTTGGATGTTGCGCTTTCCAGGCTAGTTTTGGGGGAGTCGGTGAGGCATCAGAAACATCACTTGATTACACTTTTTCTTGACCTGGAAACTTTTTACGACCGCTGCCGGTTTGACGATCCGATCAGGTTTCCAACTCGGCTATCCGCCGCTAGTCCTTCACCAGGCAGTTCTCACTTACCTGGGGCCGAGGTTTGTTCAGTCAGAGGGCTCTTTGTGTCCTCCAATCCTTCCCTCGAGGGGGGTGTTAGCTGGTTGTCCAGCTGCGCCCTCTGTCTCGAAGCTGGTGATACACCCGATAGCTGAGCATCTGATGGGTAAGCGCAGCGTCAGCAATCTTGATATCTGGATTGATGACCTGTCCCTAGACTCGATAAGTAAGTCGGCTTCGCAAGTTGCCAGTGACAGTTTGGTGTTGTTCAGAGGCTTGAGGCGAGACTTAGAGGCTAGAGGTGCGAAGCTGTCAGTTGACAAATCTGCTTTTGTTGCATCTTCGCCAGCGGCGGCTAAAGCCCTACAATCCCTTCTTGAGCCCACTGACCCCAAAGTCAAAACTGACCTCGGGGTATCTTCTGGTGGTGCTCGACGCCGTGTTTTGGGAGTTGCAGAGCAAAGACGGCGCAAGGCCATGGGGCGTGCCAAAAAACTTGACAAGCTCAAGATTACCAATTCTGCCCATCGCATCCGTATCGTGCGGGCTTCTGTTTGCTCAGCTGGCTTATGGGGTCACCCCGCGGTGGGGGTAAGCCCTAAACGCCGCAAATACTACCGTACGTTGTGCGCAAAACACGTTGGCAGACAAAAACTTGGTTCCCTTGACATAACTTTCTGGCTCATGCGGCACAAATGTGAAGATCCGCACCTGACCTTGTTGCGTCAGCACGTAAGGGCTGTTGCGCGTGTTTTTCGTCGATGGCAAACCTCTGATCCTGATAAATTTGCCAGCACTTGGTCCAGCCTTTGGACCAGGCTCGCCGAGGTGGCTCACCCTTGGAAACGCGTTGCAGGTCCCCTGGCTGCGACCCAGGCTTATCTGCTGGAGTTGGGCGTTTCAGCTCCACAAGCCACGGAGTGGCAATTTGGCACGCGCGTTTTGCGAGTTGACTGGACTTGCTTGGATGCAGTACGCCAGGTCTGGCAGTGGCTTTGCCCTATCTGGGAGCAGTCGTGCATGGACAGGATCGTTGCCTTGGATGGATGCCAGTGTTTAAAAAATGGCATTGACACCACCGTACCGCGCCGTCTCCTTAAGCGAAGGTTTTTCCATAAAAGTACTGCTGTCAATTTGCAGGCGCTTTGGCAAGGGGCTTTGATTAGTTCATCTAAGCCGGGTTGGTGCAAAACTTGTAAGTGCCCACTTAGTCTTCAGCATGTCTTGTGGGACTGCCCATACATATCTGCCCGGTTCCCTGAGTCGCCTCACCTCGCCAAGGCCAGACTTAGGTATCCGTGGCCCAGTCTTTGGCTTAGGGGTTTGGTGCCTAAGGAAGCCACCGCCTGCGTGCCTGCACTTTCTGCAGTAGGCTCCGTCACCGACGGGTTGTGGAGTCAAAGCACTGTCCTTTCCAGTCGCAACCTTGTTTTTGCTACTGATGCTTCCGGTGGCCCTGGGGCCAAGGATCCGAGGTCCATATGTGTTTCGTGGGCCATTGCGGCTTACCAGATTGAAGAAGGTGTTCCTCAAAGGGTGGCTAGCGTTACTTGCTTCCCGGAGAGTCCCCTGTCGGTGACTCAAGCTGAGCAACAGGCCGTCCGTGAACTTTTTGCTCGTGTAGAAGGCGCTTTTGACGCGACCATTGACTGCAAAAGTATCACATCCATCTTGAAGAAGGCCACGTCTCCTATGGAGGGCCCTGTTGACTGGGGAAATGTGTGGCAAGAACGTGACAGAGCAGACTTGCACTGGGTTCCCAGTCACAAAACGAAGGATTACTTCGCTGAACGTAACATCCCGGAATGGCGCCGTTTGATAAATGAGGATGTTGATATGCTTTGTGGAAAACGTGCCGCGCAGGCTCATTCAACACTCCACAGCTGCACTTTGTGTGAAGTTGACCAGCTGTGCGAAGATGTTTGCCTTCATCTTGCTCGCAAAATAGGCCATATTCTTTTAAGTAGGAAGGACAAATCCTTCCCGTGGGTTATGCAACGCAACCTTCAGCATGACGGTGTGGACCTAAGTCCTTCTTTGGCTAAAGTCAAGCCCAGCGCGAACTTTGTAAAGCAGACAGGCAAAGCCTCGGTTGCAGTTCCTAACAAAAAACAGCGCCTAAAGCAGTTGCTTGAGCACCCTGATCCTAGTATGGGTCATGTGTGGCAAGCCAGTGCCACTAAGGCCGTCAATAATTTTGCCGTTTCATGTACGGTGTGCAATCTGTATATCGAGCAGTGTAATGCACCTGATGTGTTTAACAGGAAGGTTGTCAACCCTTGTCAGGACATCCCAGCTGATCCGCCCGAGGGTTGGGTTGTCCATGCTTCGCATGATATGCTTAATAAGGGCTCCTTCTTCATTTGCAGCAAATGTCTTGCCATCGGTAAGATTGCAGCGAGCTCCGCGTCAAAGGCCCTTCGGGAGCCGTGCCGTGGCCTCGCCCGCAAGATGAACAGCGACTTAAGCAGGAAGGCTCATGCAAAAGTTGCGGCCAAGCAAAATCATTCCATTTTTGCGGTCTTTGGAAAGCAGTCTTTGCCTAAGGGGCCGCGAGCTGACAGTGATTTTGAGGGCCTCGTTGCTCCAGCGCCTCAGACTGTGCCGAAAGCGAAAAGTGTTGCTACTAAGCCCAAACCTAAGGCTCCCCAAACTGTGCCTAGGCAAACAATGCTTTCTTTTCAGTAACAAAGTCCAGTCACTGTGCCGGGTAGTGCCTTCTTTCCTTGTTTGAGTTTCCCTGGAGATGGAGAGGTGGCATTTTCTTCAAAAACCCAACCTCCCCGTTCTCGAGCCGAGAACGGGGGGGGGTTGGAAATACCTAAACATGCGGGGGCAGTGCGGGGGCAATGCGAGAGGACTCCGAGTGATTCTTGCGCTTCAACCCTACCCCATTTACACGAAAGAAAGTGCCAAAGGCTCCTGGTGCCAGGTCGGTTGCTATCGCCCGGGGATCTCCAGCTCCAAGTGCCAAGTCCGTTGCTTTCAATCGGGGGCCTGAAGCTCCTAGTGCCAAGTCGCTTGATTCGCTTGGGGGCCTGCAGCGCCAAGTTGCTGTCACTTTAGGGCCTGAGCTAGAAGTCGGACCTTCGTACTTGCAGGTGCGAGTGGAAGTGATGCTTGCCGTGATTTTTCCCTTGGCCTCCCCTGCGGCGATGGGGGTGTTAGGATTGGTTTGGAAGGGTTTAGGATGAATTTTGAGCGTCTGCAAAAATGTGAGACTGTGTGGGGAAACCCCTTGCAGAACACGCTTGCACTGCCTTGCTTAGCGGGTTATGGCGCCTGACTGCAGAGTAAGAGTGGAGCAATCTAGGACCTGCATATCAGGGTTACAGCGCGCGATTGCGGAGCAATAGTGACGCAATGCAACCGTGTTTCTTGGGATAACAGCGTGATTGCGGAGCAAGGGCGGTGCAGCCAGGCACTGCTTAACGGGGAAACACCGCGTGATGTGGAGCCAAAGCGGCGTTTCCAGGTCTCGCATCTCTAGGAAGTTGTGCGATTGTGTAGCATAGTGGTGGTCTTGCCTTCATTCGTGCCTCCTCTTGTGTTTTGTCTCTTGCGGGCCTACAGCAACTCGAAAGTTTGCTTGTACGGACAGGAACCTACGGCTCAACCAAGTGCCGGCAAGGCCAGAGGAATGATGAGCTTCTTCACCAGCTGCCGAAGGCCCAGGTGCAAGGAAACTGTACAATGCAAAACTTGGCCATGAGTAGCGATCCAGATGCTGCACTTTCCTGACGGGGGCAAGCCTCGCGCCGCCAGGGGCCACTGCCACACCCCAGCTCACTCAGTGTAGGAGCCATGCACCTGGGTCGGTCCGGGCAGCTGGTGGTGGCTGTACAGGGCAATCCAGCCGTTCCCTCTCTTTTGCTTCTGTAGGATTCTCGGCCTTCGGCCGCGCGTGCAGTCGCTTGCAGAAGAAAAATTCACCCTGGCTCAAGCTTTCGGCTCAACCCCGGTGGGGTGCCTTTGGTAGGGAGTTGGTAGCTGTCAACGAGCCTCGGGGCCCAAATCTGCGTGGGGGAACAGGCCCTTGGTCCAATCCCAGCTTGACCAACTTGTGCCATGGCTGAGCTTAGGGTGTTCGCCTCCCTTTTGTCTCCACAGTCAGGAACCGCTGCTCACCGTCGGGGGTTCGCCTCCGTTGCAAGGGTGCATTGCATCCTAGGCCAGTCCCAGCCGGCGGGACGCAAGTTCCGGAGCGGGTGGCAATCTCTCGGGGGGCTCACCTCCAGGAAAGCTTGAGTTTGAATAAGCACCAGCGCTTGGTGCCCCTAAACTAACTGCTTTTTCCCCAAAGTTTTGCTTTGTTTTCCTTTGCCACTTTGCACTGCTTGCAGTCATGCATGCCGCTGCATTCCTGAGATCATGCCGCCCGCTGGCAGGAGAGCAGATGGGGGCAAGGTCTTCGCCAATGGTCACTTCTGGTTGTCTCTTGGGTTTAGGATTGCATGCATGCTTGGCGCTGGCAAGTTTGGTGGCAAGCGTGGGGACCATCCTGTGTGGTTGAGGCTCCTTAGGGGGTCCCTTGGCTTCTTTGGGAGGGTTTAGGGTGTTGTTGAGGTTACCTATGTGTGGGCCACAAGTGTGCTGCCACCTCTGGCTATACCAGTACCATAATTACTGAAATTTTGTGCATCAACTCAGGCGCTATGCACTCTGGACATGCAGGAAGCACTCATCTCTCCAGCCTCTGGGAGGATCTTCCTCAGCGCCCAGGTCCTCCACTAAAGGGCCATGCAGTTACGTCCTTGAGTTGGGGGGCCAGCCCTGCCACCTGTGCAGGGTTTTGGAACAAGTGCAGGAGTTGCTACGGGCTCTTGCCTCCCTATCGCTTGGCGTTGGCAGAACCAAGTGTGGGATCCTCCTCTTACTTGTTGTTTTTATAGTTTCGGGCATGCAGGTACCCAGGAGTGTCCAGACCGTGAGTCCTGCCTGCGCTGCAAGCCAAGCCAACAGTGGGTGTGTTTCATGGCTGGTGCGGCGTGGTTCCCGCGCTTGTTGAGGGGAGCGTCGACACCTGCGCGTGTGGAGGGGTGCGTTTGCCCTCGCGCTTAGTTTGAGGGCTTAGCACCGGCCTTGACGTGCAGTCACCTAGGTTTGGATCTTGCAGTTGCCCAGGGTGGTTGGTTGGGTTTAAGGTCACCTTTGA